TAAAATCATTCTTCTAGCATGTGTTTTGGTCCCAGCTGATGTGAACTGCATGAAGAGGATATATGTGGAGGCAAATGAGCCTTTGAAACAGTTGCCTTTATTTGGGTATGCTAAAAATAATTGATTTCTGAAGAGAAAACTTTTCAAGCTGATATTTGGTGGTTGACGTGTTTTAAAGTTTAAAGATTAAAGTTATTAATACTCTGGTAGGTGATTTGGAGATCTGCTTGTCTAATGCCAAGAGCTGTAACTCTTTGCTAATGAAATTTTCATCCTATTTCCTGAATTATCGTGTTAATACTAATGTTCAATTAGAATTAATAACGGACCTTGCCTCGGGACCAGAAGTGAATAAAAAGTAGCTTCTAATGAAACCTTAGATTTTACCGTTTCTATGACTCTAACCTCACAAGCAGACAAAATATCTAGTCTGTGTGGACACCACGACCCTTTATTCTTTAACTTGCTTGTCAGAACTTCTGTTGCAATGGGACCTGGCTGGTTTGTATTGGATCGGCAGTTTGGAGAGGTGATGTTTGTCGTTCAAACATGATTCTCTGTTTTTGTGTGTAGTTATCAAAGGTGAATGAGCAGTTCTGTTATTGCTCTTATTGCTGCTCTGCTCTTGTTCTTTTATTCACTTGTCCTGTTCTAAATTCAGATTGAGCCATCTGATACAGGACCATGTCATCTTGGGTACTTGTGTAGAATATACTACAATGGGGCCTGGTTACTAATTGGAGCTTTTGGGTGCTCAGACAATAGCGATAATTAGTAATAAATGTACAGCTGTAATAGCAAGTAGTGTTCACAGTATGCAATACAATGCGTGACAGTTAAGCTGCTATGTGCTTTTGAGTTCCTATTGAATGTATTGGAGAAATCATCATTGTTGTTTCTTGCCTATGTGGTGTTGCCCAGTGGCCTTCTCTCTGTTCTGGTGTAAGTGCTTATGCTACTAATACCTTAATTAACTTCTTCAAATATAACCGGTCAGGGCACATCCAAATAACATTCAGAAATGTACTGATCAGCAGTCTACAAGATTTCTCCAAGAAATCTTGAAGTGTCATCTGGAGAAAACTTAAAGGCTGACATTAAGCAGATGAACTTACGCTTTTTGAGTTAAACAAGCAAATAAACAAACCCCACCTACCAAACAAACCCCCTCATTAAATTAATAAATTCAGTTTCACCAGAACCTTCGCAAGGTTGCATGTTTCTTTTGCTTCTTGCACATTTTCAGTTATCAGCCGCTCATAGAACACTTCTGGTTGTCAGTCCATCCTTGATCAAATTTCTTCTGTCTTGTGTTGGTAATAATTAGAATTTTGACAAATTCTGTTGTTTGGACCACATTCAGATTATTTTTTTTTAAGTTTATTAAATTCTGGGGTGTAGGTGTTTTGAGGCTTTCAGCTTAAAAAAATCCCAACAAAACAAAACCCTTTCAAAACAGACATATCTGGGTCAGTCTAATGTCTTTCTCCTGCAGAGTACTTGTTCAGCTTCTAGGTTAGGCGAATATATTATCATGACACCAATAACAGAACGGTCTACATTTTAGGTAGTTTATTTTCCTGAGACCAAATTATCTTTTTTTTTTTTTTTTTTTTTTTTGCATTCAATGTAAGCGCATGCTGTTTCTCAGTAGCTCTTAGAAGTAAGATATAATTGTGATTCCTGGTGATCTTTGGTTGGAAATCTTTTGTATGCAGTCCTAAGACTTACCATTGTTGCTGTCATTTAGAATTTATGGTATAAAGAGCTAATGGTGACAAATTTTAAAAAGAGAAGGAGAGAAATCATGGGAGAAGAGATGTAATGTTAGTGCTGGGATTTGAAAAAGAGGGAATCTCGCCACTAGTGGTTGGTGGGCTATCCAGCTACCAACTCTTAAGTAAATTTCCACAGATTTTGTTTTGAGTGAAAGATCTAGAGAAAGTGGTGGTGTGTTAGTCTTAGTTTTGATGTTAGAGTAATAGATTTTGACGAAATCTTCTGTATGTTGCCTGAACCTGTAAATGTTTTAGGTGGCTGAAAAGAAAGCTTTTAAGTGTTTGTGTTGGTTTTGGGTTTTTTTTATTCAAAGCAGTTGTAAGATCTCTTATTGTACCACATTTGTAGTGATGATGCAAGTATGGGGTTTTTTTAAGTGCTAGATCTCTTGGAGCATTAGATGCTATTTTGTCATCAAGTCAGTGAAACTTTTGTCAGCAAGTTACTTGGAGCATTAGATGCTATTTTGTCATTGAAGTGAGAGCATGTATACTTAAACCAGCAGTGAATATGGGAGTGCAGAGGTAGCCAATTAAGCTTATTTGTAAAAGTAGTGTGCATACGTTTTTTTCTTGTTACTTATACACCTCTTCTTCCCTCCCCGTGGTTTCTTTAATTTCTGGGAGAAACACAACATGCTCTTTATAATTAGTTTTAGTTTTGAATAAATTTACATGGCCTGAAAATGAATGTTGTCTGTAGATTGTTCTTGCTTCTAAAGAACTGGCGCCAAGTTATCTAGTTGAATGTATATTGAATTATTATTTTTTTTTCATAAAGCATCTCATGTGCAGCTTTCAACTCTCCTAATGTTGCATTGATTTAATCCTCTGTCCCAGCTTTAGGTTTTTCTGCTTGTATAAGTTTGTGTGTGTTTTTTTTTTTTTTAGCTGATATGTAACATCTTAAAGTATTCCTCATGTGTGTGGAGAAATGCTAGTTGAGCAGATCTATAGTGAATTATGATTATGGTCATAATACTGGAAGAAAGTATTTATTTAAGATGCATGGGTGGTACTGTGTTCCTGTAGTCAGATCTACTGATTTCTAGAGGCAGGATCTGTGTAGACAACAGGACAGCTGCCTGTGTAGACCATTTGCCTGCAGGGTTTTTGGGGTATGCTTTTGTTTTGACAGCAAAAATCCCGCAGGCATTATTTGTAAAAGCAATGGTGAATTTTAGAAAAGACTGCTGATAGCTTATTATTTCTTCATAACCAGGACTTTCCATGGAGAAATGGATGAACCCTGAAAAGTACTGTTTGTCCCCTCCTTCCCCCTCCCCATATATCCAAAGACTTTTACAAGTATGGAAAGTTCTTTGCTGAATGAGTCCTCAAAACATGCTTGCTTTCTTTCAAAATTTTCTGGTGTGGATGGTGAAACTCCTATAATCTTTTACTTTTAATAAAGTGTTTCCCTATTCTGTGCTGTCAAAGAAACTACTGCAATCCAAATGGTTTAGTCGCTCTGGGAAGATTTGTGTCCCTTCCCTATTTGTATCAGAGGTTATTCAAGAATACTAAATGTGAACTTTTAGAACAACTGAACTATCTTGACGGTTGCTAGTGCTCCTGTTTTGGGTTTTGGTTTTTTTTTTTTCTTTTTGGGTTTCTATGTTTTTAACTTCTCAGCAGAATTCTAGTAACACTTGTGCGTTTTGCACATCTGTGTGCAAGGTGAAATGAAAGGATTGGTGGAAAAAAAGCTCAGCTCAGAGTCACGCTCTCAGTTTTGGTGTAGACCACCAATATGGTTAGTTGTGGTGTGATCAGGCATAAGTTCAATTACAGCAGCTCAGGTGGTAATTAATAAAGCTGACACAACTCAGGTTTGACTGAGACACCAACTCGGACTTACTTTTGAGTCTTCATATCACCTTTGTCTCTCGTACACTTATTTTTTTGCAGTGCTGTTAAGCCATGGTATTTCCTGTCTGATCATTCAATCACATCTTGATAAGTATGTTGTTCTTTTCACTGATCATACTAAGTACAATCACATCTTGTTGGTTCCAAAAAGGCACTTTTCTGGTGCCTTTTTTTCCCTTTTTGCTTTGCCAACCGTCTGATCCCCACAACAGTTTCTACCTTCTTTTACCGTATCGGATTCAAGCTGCTAGTCATCACTTTCAGCTGCTTGTGGTATGCGCTCAGCACCTTTATGACTTCTCATTCACTGCCAAGATGTTGACTGGTTGCATCTGGCCTTTGATATTAGTTTCTGCTGAAATTTCTTCAGTTTATTTTCTCCAGTTAGAAGGTGTGCTCTCTTAGGCAGCTGCACAAGTTCGAGAAGACCTTTGTCTGTGCAGCTGCCTTGTTATTCTTCCTGAAAATCTACTTTAGTACTCCTGTTGCAAAGATCAAAGAAAACCTAACAAAGGTAATTCAGGTGTGTTATAGCTGTCATGCTGTTTAGCATCCCTTGCGGTTTTTATCTTTTTTTTTTTTCCCTACTGTTTTTTTTTCATTCTACGTGTTCACTGTTTTTTCTTGTGTACAAAATATTACCTCTATAGAGCAGTCTTCTGTGGGATTAGCACAGGAGGTCTAAATGAATGACTTGTGCTCCAAAGTACTGTCGTAATGGAAAGAAATTTTTAGAAAATTCAGATGTCTGCAACAGAACCAAGCTCACAAGTTGCTGGTGATAGTGTAGTAAGCTTTGGAGTTTTCTTTGTGTGTAATGTAAGAGGAATCTACCTTGGCTAAATTTGTCAGTGTTTTAATGACAGGCGGCTCAATAGTTGGCTGGGACTTTGCTGTACTGCAGTGTTAGGTAGCCAGTGGTAGACAGGAAAAGGTGTGTCTTTTGAATGAAACTCTTCAGACTTATACCAGGCAAAGTTCTAGTCCACTTCATAAAGGAAAAACTGGAGTAAAAGATCTTTTAGCTGATTCTAACTGAATTAGCCTCATCTATTTCTTGCAGCATTAAAACCTCTGTTATTTTTAATAGATTTTCAGGCATAGTTTTCGCTGGACACTGCAACATATATTTTCTGAACTTTTATCTTTGAAATATTTTCTGTATGATAATTACATTGAACGAAATTATCTGGTTTACTGAAGTTAAACTTGTAACTAAAAAATTCCTTCTAAAATGCTTTTTTATAATGTCTGTCATGCTTGGGTTTTTTTAGCACTTAATAGAAATCAAAATATTAGAGATTTAGAGGATATACCTCTAAGTATAATTTCTTAACATTGCCTTTGCAGGTACATGATGCTGATTGATGGCAAGAATGAAGTTTATATGATTGATAGAGACAATTCAATTTTTCACGTATCTAATCTGGAATTTCCCTTTCGTAAAGATCTTCGCACACATCTAACAAATACTCTTCTGGATGGGGTAAGGACCGTACTGTATCATTATTTTAACAACTTCAGTGCCATTTGCTTTTGTTCAGAAACAGGGCCACGTTTTTCGGCCTGGATCGGTGAATCGTGGGATTTCAGGAGTAATATAGATTCAGTCACTGTTTGAATGTGGGAATAACACTGCATAAGTAATTTCTTATCTACAGAATAGAAGTGATGACTACTCTGGGGGGAGCTGTTTGTCTTTGAAATAAATCAAGATATCGAGATGACATTCTCTGAATATGAGAAGATGCTTGAAGAGAATCTAAAGAAATGCAGAATCTCATCTCTTGTTACAGCTTTATATTTTGAGACAGTAAATATGGTCAATTTAATCCAGTTAATATAAATATTTCTAAAATTTTGTAAAATTTTCATCATCTTTTGATAGACTTGTGAATTGATGACTTTGCTTCTGTCACCTTTATTTTCAGCTCATTTGAATTACTGATTGTGATTTAGAAATAGTTTAGTTACATTTGTTTAAGACTACAACACCTCTAAGTTGTCATGCTAATTTAAATTATGTAAACTCGCTAACGAACTTTGCATGCTCATTATAAAACAAGCTGTAAAACGTCTATATTTGTTGTTTGATGGCTGGCCTGGAGTATTCTTGGTAAACTTTTCAGAATGGTAGCCGCAAGAAGAGATTACTCCGTTCTTGACCGTCCTGTTTCAGATGAGCAAAAGAACTTCATTAGCTCTTATAAATGTGCTTATCAGTGTAGATGAACACTGGTTCCTATTATGTTGCAGTAGCATTCGAGGATCACTACATTGCTGTCACTCTTGCTTGCTGAAGTATTGACTATCTGAGATGAACTTCCATGTTGGTCTTCTGAAGCCTGATGCACCTTTCAGATACAGGAGACCATATTGTCATTGTTAACTTTTCTTTCTCAGGCCTTTGTTGTCAGTATCCTTCTTGAAATGTCATTTCTGTGAATGCTCTTACTGAACACATATTTACATGTGAAGCATGTATAAATTGAATCTGTGAGGATAATTAATGCAAGGGACAATGTACTGTCTCAGGGACAGGGGAACAGATAATGGAATATTTTCCACTACCTCTGCTTCACTAAAAAATTGAGAGCATAATGCAAGAAATGCCATGCTGTCAGCTCAAAAGTGGTTGCACAAGCTGTCATGTCTGGTAGGGGCCTCTGCAGCCAGGCAGCTTCCTAATGACGTATATAATAGCATTCTTAATGACATACATTAGGTTCCATACTGTTTAGATAAAAAGCCTGGTACTATTTTTTTTCCCCTGCTCTTTCTAAGGCTCTTGAGAAAGTAATGGCTTGCCCATGTCCATATGGTGCAGTCCTAGGTGTTCTTCAGGGAAACTGCTGCTCTTGTTTTTGCATTTCAAAACAGATGATTTAGTAAGGGTGGCTAATATGTACATGGTGGAAGACAGGGATGCATATATATTGAGATATGAGCATAAATGTGGCTGTGTGGTGTGGGAGAGGGTGTGTTCTGTTTCCCAGATTTATAGTTCAAGTCTCTTAAGAATAAATGAAGTTCTTTCAGTTACTCAGGACATGAATTATAACTTCACTTATTTTGTTGTTTTGTAAAAGTTATAGTGCATTTCAGTATTTCATTTTATTGACATAAAATTAGATTACTGTGATTTTTTTCAGCCCATTTTTTTTCGTGAAGTGGAAAGCAAAATGACATTAAATGAACAAGTATTGGTTAAGTGAAGTACCTTGAGATGGAACTAAAACTTTTCAATAGATAAATACTTTTCATAGTACAGATATCTGAATTTATTTAAGTATGGTCACTTAAAAAAAAAAAGGCAAGCTGTTGATGGACTATTTCTATTTTCAATTGAAAGTCCTTTCAACAGGTTTGAGAATAAAATTTGCCTATTATTTGAAACATCAGAACAGCTTAACTTTGTAATTGAATATTTGTTTAATGTTGGTGCCAAATGATAATTTCCATGACTGTTCCTTTACTCTGGATATATGTATGATTCCTTTCTTTTTTTTTTTAATCCATAGGAAGAAAAATTTGGCTTTTTTGTGTTAACATATTTTGCTAATTAGTGCTGAAGGGCTGTTGAAGTTAATTCTCTAATTGCAGGTTGAAGTAGTTCATACTTCCTGCCCTTGAAGTAGCTTTCCCTCAGAGAATGAAAGTATAGAATGAGGTCACCCAAATTGCGCTGCTTTACAGTAATCTTAAAAAGCATGAGAAAGGAAAGACAAACAGGTACCAGTGGCACGCAGCAAAACAACTACTTGTGTTAAGAATACAAAAGATTAGGTAATTTCCCCTAACTTTATTTAGAATGACAGCCTATATAAAACTTTCATAAAGGCAATTTCCATTAGTTCAGTGATCTATTAACTTGCTTTAAGGCTTCTGGTGTAAGCCTTTCATGTGGTTGTCTTTGAGAATTTCAAATACATTTACGGTTCACTTCAGGCTGAAATTACTTGCAAAGAGTTCTTCCTATGATCAGTTATGTCCCGGGTGATGAGAGATCTGCAATACTCTGTGCTCATCTCCAGCTCTTCAGTTGTGATTGTTCTCCTGGCATGGAAGAAAGTTTTCCGCAAATCTCATTAAAGCCAATTTGAACATTACCTACAGGTGACTGGTATAATATGATGTGTTCCTTTAGAAGCCAAGTGTTTTGCATCCATACTGCTCTCTGAGGTAATGCATAGATTTTTTTGTTCAAGTGTTTTGGCTGTCATGCCAGAAAACTAATTAGTTATTTTCAGGAACTTTCTTGGCATTCTACTTAGCTTTGGAACAGTTGAGTAGAAAATGCAGAGGCATTCTTAGGCTTGAAATACTTCTTATAATTTTAGTATAATTCTGTATGTATTTTATTTATATATAAAATATTGTTCACGCTTGAAGACTTAGGAGAGCCAAGGACTCCAAAAGTGGAGAGTGAGATTAAGATTGATTTATGCTTTTGTATCAGTACAGACCTCACTTAATTGTAAGCTCTCTCAGAAATGGCATAACTTTTTTGAGTTTGCGGAGGCTGGCACTTTGTGCAAAACAGATTTTTTAAAAAAAAAAAAAAAGCTCTTCATTCCTGAAAGACAGCAGTGGCTAGAATTGTGTTGAAGGTAAATGGATAAAGGAAAGGCAAAGGAAAAGGAACAACAAACAGATGTGTGATTAGGTCTGATTCCATACTCTGTGTCAACAAAAAATACATTTTGCAAGTAAAATGATATCCTTTGCTTTGTGATTAAATTTTGGATTATTTTAATTCTAAGTTGCTGGTTCGATATGTGATTCAAGGAAAAAAGAAAACGTCCGTGAGCTGTCAGTCCAGCATTGTTCTTTTGGTATTTGTCCAGCTAAAATCTCTTAGCACGGTTGCTGTTTCTAATATGCTGTAAGGCTATGCCCTGCAGCACCAGAAGATTAAGAAAAGATTAACACCAGCACAGTTTTGCTATATGACATCGAAGAAACTGGCCACTGGGCCTTGTTCTACAAGCCCACAGGTTAAGTTAATACCTAAACTAGCAGCTAATGGACAAGTGATAAAGATCATACTTACTAGCAGTGGTAACTTTAAAACACACAATAGTGGCTGTAAATCAATATGGGGTCTATAAAAGGAAATGTATGGATGCTGGTGCATCTTGTGGATACTTTTGTGTTCTATTATCATGTCATTTGAATGGTTTTGGGTTTAAGTTTTTAGTTGTCTAAAAACTGACTTAAATATAGCCTTATCAGGTTATTACTCAGATTGGAATGAGTGATGAATGTGATCAGTTTCTCAAATACAACATTTTCCCAGCAGTCTATGAACTTAACTTTGAGGTCTATTCCCTGAGGTATTTTTCAGTTCTTATAATTTCAAGGAAGATTCTGAAATCAGACTGTTAAATAAGGATATGTTAGCATATTTCTGATCTAAATCGTTCTTCTGATCACTTTACAGCTTTTGCCTTATGACAGTTGTATTGGCGTAACTAATGGAGCAGTGAATGTTGTTGTCATGATGGAGATGAGCAGCACAGGAATTTGTCATCTCTACTGCTGGGGCATATTGTGCTGTTGTTTATTTGCTCTGGTAGCTGGGATATCAGTCAGGATGTGAAAAGAGATCAAGAGGCAGGGGAGGAAGAAAAGAAGTGAAGATGTGAGGAAAGAAGTTAGTTTGACCAGTAGTGGAGTGAAAATGTTTAGACATGTCTGAAGTACAGAAAAAGTTTCTTTATAAAATTAATTCTGTGCTAAAACTGAACATTCCAGAGAAGCTTTAAAAATCATTTTTGGTCCTCTTGGCTGTATTTTATAATTCTTCTTAAACTGAATATCCAGAGAGTCAGATTTTGAAAATTAGGCATAAAAACTTGTAATACAAGGCACTGAAACATTTGCAGGGTTTTGCATACAAATGCCGGCTTTGCATCAAAGCTGAGGCTCTGAATATGCATGCTGAGGAAATGAGTACTCAAATGTTAAATATATGTTCAATTAAATGTATTTTAAAAATTTGTTTCACCTGCTAATGTGGTTGAAACTTTAAAGAAATATGGTAACATTCTTTTGTTTCAGTTTTACTTTCTTTTCATGTTACCTGATTACTATCAGGAATTCTGGGTGGGCTTCCCCCCCCCCCCTTTTTTTTCTTTCTTTCTTTTTTTTTTTCCCTGCATTGTATCTTTACACACTCTTCCAAGTTTGAACATAATGCCTTCTTTCTCTCTTAGGGTATACCTACTCCCATCAGTTCTCGCAGTTAGTTGTAAAATTTATTGGCAAAGGTGGCGTTGCAGTGTTGGCATCTGTTGTTCCTTTGATAGCTCACCAGTGTCTTACCTAAATATTGGAAAGTAACAGAACAGCATTTTGTTACATCGCTTCTATGTAGACTTTCTGCAAATGTTATTTGACAGTACCAGTGACTAAATAATTTTTAGAGTTAAAAATAAGATATTGTAGTGTTACAAAGGAATATTTTTCACTAGTTGAATTAATATTTTTTTTTTTAATGATGTGGCAAGATGTGTAAGGTCACTTCAGGTAGTCATTCACAACACCTGTGAATGCTGCATTTGGCTGTGAAAACCCATTCTCCATCTCAGTGTTGTGTTCACAAAAGACAAGATTCCAAAATATTTAGTAGGCAACTTATAGTTCCCAGTGGTTTTTGAGAACAACAGGTTCATGTCTTCCAGTTTAGTTTTAAATGCTTCAAGCTTTATATTTGCTTTAAAACAATTCTGTTGTCACAACTGCTTGCTTATTTTTCAAAGCCAAATGCGGTTAAATACTAGGTACAATTCAAGAAGCTTGGTATGTGTACAGACTGAAAATCAGTCTTACATTGAGACTCTTGTTTGGGTTTACTTTGTAGAAGTTACAGATTCTAAGAGAAGTTAAAAGGTTGTAAAACATAAGAATGCTGCTGACCTAGCAAGAAACAAACTAAACAAAACTAATTTGAGTTGATGTAAGGTTCTATTTTGGAATAATTCTTGAGCTCACAGTTTTGTTTTCATAATGTTATAGTGAAATATTTTCACCTTTTACAGTTGTTTTATCTTGTATGTGTGAATTTGGAATTTTAACTTGATATCGGCAGAAAAAAATCCTGAGCTGATACAACTAACTTATTAGTCAAGAATTGCAGGAGGGGGGACAGGGAGAAGATTGATTGCATTTAGAGAAGTGAATATTGCAAAGTTGTCTCTGAAAAAGATCTACTGATCGGTTGGTTGTTAGCATTTTCAATCATGACTAATTTATATGAAACTATTAGTTTATCAAACTAATAAACTATGTCTAATTCATATCATATGAAACCTGAGTTACAGATGTAAGCACCAGCATGTAAGATGTATATATTTCTGTATGTACCATGAAGTTCAGGAAACACTTTTGTGTGTGGATGTTGATCGTTAGTGGTGTTTCTTCTAGCTGACATACTTTCAAGATGATTTACCAATATATATTGAATGTTAACTGATTTCATGTGATACGTATAGTATCCGTGATATTTCCATTTGAAGGAACCCTACTGTTTAGTCACAATACAACACTCAAGCAAACTGCGGTTGTCAATGCTGCCTATGATGCTGTTAACATGAAAAGATCCAACGTGAGCATAGAAAATGGATGTTAATGCTTGTTCTTTACTTCTTTGCTGTTGTACTCCTTACTGTAGGCGAGATTTCCAAAAGCGCTTGGTTGACTTAGGATCGCAGTTCTTACTGAGGTTTCTAAAAACTCATAATTCACTCAAGAAAGGTAGTGATTTTGAAAGCTGTGGGGAAACTAATGTATAAATGTTGCAGATCAGACTGTGTACAGCTTCCTGGCTTCTTACTGCATGCTTCAAGAGAGACATTTAAGACCATAATAATATTTTTATAATCTTGACCTATTGTAAAAGCGTTTCTATAATAAAGATGTGGCCAGTGATTGATTGTATCATACTTACAGGTATGTGCACTAAGTATAAATGTGTTGACATTCTTCTGTCTTTGTGAAATAAATGTAAATGTTCTCTCTTTTCTTTTAAGGAAATGATCATCGATAAGGTTAATGGACAGGTTGTCCCTCGGTACTTGATATATGACATTATTAAGTTTAACGTAAGTACTTTTGGTTTTATTGCTTTTATCACTAGTTATTGATTCTCATTTCTATTTTAATCTTATTTGTCTAAATAAGAGCTTCAGAGTAAATTTAAACACCAAAAGTGTTTGGGTATTTTGTAGGTCAATAACAAGCAATGTATCAGAATTAAGATTGAAAGCAGCCTTATAATAGACATTGATTTATTTCCACCTGCTCAAGAAAAGATGGCGGTTTGAAACAGTTTGCTAAACACTGTTGGAAAATTTCCTATCTCTAGAGCATATTTGAACTATTTAAGCAGTGAAATTGAGAGGGGATGGAGAAGTTAGCCTGTAACTGGTATAGTTGTTACCAGAGCATCACGGTGCTCCTTGTTAGGCTGTTCCATCAGTTCTTTCTCAAATTTCTCTTTGAAACCAGGCAACTCGTCCTCTGTTAAGTCCTCAGCAGCAAGCTCTCCTGTTTACACTGGCTGTAGGGTAGATATGTAATAAAGAACTAGATTGTGGCTGTTGTGGAAAAGGAGAAGCTTTTGTTGACAGTCTTTGTGGTTACAAGAAAGAGCTGTTAAACAGTGCAGAAAAGGAGAAACTTCTTTTCTTTTAAGCAGCTTTCAAATATGGTAAAGGTTTGAATGTCACCAAAGGGCTCTTGTATGTTATCTTTTATAGTGGGTTTTTTTTTTTTTATCTCTTGGATTTTTTCCCCAAAAGTCACAATATATGTGGAAATTGAAGTTAGTCAGGGTTCTTATGGCAGGGTCTCCTACTGAAGCTTGTTTGAAGACCTAACCTTGACAACATGTTCCACTTGTTACCACTTACTAGGAAATAAATTTTCTAGTGATTTCTCTGTTATGTCTAAGGAAGAGAAAATGTCCTTTGAGAAGGATCAGTTTAACCATATATATCTTTTCAAAACAATATTTAAAATAATTTTTTGAAAACAGAAATTGCATACTGGCTTTGGTTAGGATAGAGTGATCTCAATGATCTTTTCAATAACCTTCCCTGAAGAGTAAGCGTTTGTTTCCTAGATCCTTCCTATGATTAGGAGTTTTTCAGTAAACAAAAATTCCTTACAGACTTCTGAAGAATACAGTTTTCTAAAAAAACCCTCCTGGGTTCTCATTTTTCCTTTACGTTTTCTTGTTCCTCTGCCTGTGATTCTGTGTTTATTTACCTTCACGTCATTCCTTGTCTCTGCTCTCATCTTATGTCTAGCCTGAGTGTACAGGTTCCTTCTTCCCTAAGTTTGGGATATTCATATACTGTAAAATAACACTTTCTGAAAGTCATAATTATTTTAGTGAAACATTTTTTTTTTGGGTGGAATGGGAAAAAACTCATTTGTAGCAAAGTGTGCAGACTTAATGTGAAGAATCCCACTTGGCAAACAAGAAAAATGGTAAGAGGATTTCCAGAGGACTGTTAAGGTTTGGGAAAAGTCTGCTTTTGAGCAGGATTGTAAATGCTTTAAAGCTTGTTTGGGTTTTTGTTTGTTTGTTTATTTGTTTGTTTGTTTTTAAAATGCACTGGGAATGAAAGAGAAGCGTTAGTTACTATATAATACTATTTTAATGTCAAGGACAAATTACAGTAATGTTGTCAGTATGAGTACAAGCAGGGCTTCAGCTGCAAGAAGTTATTATCAGTGGTCCTACTACAAAGACTAAAAATCACAGTGGTTTTAGGTTAATTTTAGAAGCCTAATTACAAAAGTGAGCACCCGAGGATGTTTGGCTTGGCAAGAAGTGATCAACAGAATTTTACCACCAAGAGAGGTAAATGTATTGAAAACTTGTAATTGTCAAGAAAGGATAAGTTCCTTTTTAAGTTGTAAGAGTTAGATTTGTGTAAATTTTCCTAGCAGAGCTTCGAATCAAATAATTACACAAAGCATCAGTCCTGTTTAGAAACAAAACATTCCCCCCAAACAAATAACACCTCCACTCCAAAAAAAAAAAAAAAGCCCCCAAAAGATCTCACCGTCAGTTATATGAGGTGCTCTGGAATTCATCACCACAGAATCACAGAATGGTCAGGGTTGGAAGGGACCTCTGGAGATCATCTAGTCCAACCCCCCTGCCAGAGCAGGGTCACCTACAACAGGTTGCACAGGACGGCATCCAGGCGGGTTTTGAATGTCTCCAGAGCGGGAGACTCCACAACCTCTCTGGGCAGCCTGTTCCAGTGCTCCACTACCCTCAAAGTAAAGAAGTTCCTCCTCATGTTAAGGTGGAACTTCCTGTGTTCAAGTTTCTGCCCATTACCTCTTGTCCTGTCACTGGGCACCACTGAAAAAAGACTGCTCCCATCCCCCTGGCACCCTCCCTTTAAGTATTTGTAAGCATTAATAAGATCTCCCCTCAATCTTCTTTTCTCTAGACTAAAGAGACCCAAGTCCCTCAGCCTCTCCTCGTATCAGAGATGTTCCAATCCCCTATCATCTTTGTAGCCTTTGTCTGCCTCTCCAGCAGATCCCTGTCTTTCTTGAACTCATCTCTCCTTTTGATCTTGAAAGTAGTTGTATCTTCTGAAGGTGAATGGTGGAGTTACTGTACTCACTGTCTGTCATGTGAGTTATAAGGTTTCCAACATGTCCCTTGTCCCCTATCTCATCCTCCACAGTGACTCAGCACACTGCTGTTAGAGATAAGACAAACCCTGTTGATGAACACCTTGCTGAGGCAAACCTCATGTTTTAGTCGGGTCTAGTGAACTACAGATATTTTCAGCTGACCTTATTCTCAAACGCTCAACTTACTTTTCTTGCGTAGCATCCCATACTAGCTAAGCCTTGCAAAGTTTTCTTTGTCAGAATATTCCTTCTGAAATATTGCATTCACAAATTCCCCATGAAGTCTCAAAGACTTATGTGCACTATTAATACTGCTGAGAATTTGTGTGTTAGGATGACCAGTGCAGACATAAAAATACAGAAGTTAGTACTAAAATGAGATAATATATGGTTTTTCAGAATGCACCATGGATTTATAGCAAGATATACGTCAACTTGTGCCTCTCAGAATAACTGTAAATCGTACAGTGAAAGCTGTTAACATATATACAGAAAAATTATGGAATTAAATTTTATATCACAGCAAATTAATATATAATTACAAATGTCCATATGTCCTTTAGTATAATATCACTTTGAACTATTCTCAGTGTATTCTGCCACCACTATCGTCATGCTTCAAAATTGCAGTGTATTCCATTCTTGTATTTATTCTAGTTCTTGGGTTTAGGTGGTTAAATAGTGTTAAAATTAATGTTTGGAAGTGTAGCAGTTGAGACAGAGCAACCTTATCTCTGTTCTGTGCTGTACTTCTCTGGCTTTTAACAAGGGGACATTTAGGACTGAAGACTGATGCCTAAATAAAGCCCAGAATGCTTAGCCTGGCTTCTCTGTGTCTAAGCTAACTGAATACCGTGACCACTGTTGCCTTTTATGAGCAGAAATTGTGAGAAGGCACGTTTATTCTTAAAGCTGTATGCTTAAAGCTTCAGCCTACAAACCAAAGATCCCAAACTATAAATAGTTGTGTTCAATTTTTCCCTTGCAGCCCTGGCATTTAAAAAGTGAAGTGTTTAAGAGACCAATGTCAGTTTGAGATTTAAGAGAAGCAGCAATCTGCTAGTAACAGATCAGCTGGGAGCAAAAGTAACGTTTTTCATTTTCTGTACGATACTATGATTTTGGGAGAACACTGTGGAATCATGGAGCTGAGTGTCTCAGTAAACCACGGGATCTTTCTTCAGACTTAGGATTTCACCTGAGCATGAACCAGAGGAGGTAAGGAAGTCACCTTAAACGAGGATGATGTGTTCATCAGGAGAGGATGGTAACAGAAACTTAATAGTGAGTAGAGGGTATAGAAACAAATGAAAGTAGTAAGGGAAAAAAATGAGAGAAAGTGAGTGGGCAAAGACCTACCTTTTACAAATTTTAATCCACATTGTTATCAGCGAGGCTTATTGTGACTTAGCTTTTCAATTTTGCTGTGGTGCGTCAGGAATAAACCACAGCAGCCTTCTAGAAAGAACCAAAGAAAACTAAGAGAATAGACTCGTTGAAATATATATTGTGTATTTGGCTCTAGATGTCTACACAGAAAAAGTCTTAGGAAGAAGAAAAAATAAAAATTGAATTACAGTGACTGGGAGAGACCTATACTGGAGTTCTTAGGGAAAGCATGGAAATAATCTGTCTTGGCTGTCTCTTTCCATGATAAATTTTGTATTGAATTCTGATCCTGATCACCTATAGCTATTGCAAAAGTCAGTCTTCAGGGACGCTAATGTAACCCTTTGACTTAATTTCTTTTTAATCACTGTTTCTGTGACATCTAGTTTCTAGAAGCTGGTGGTAACACATCCCATTGTGTTAGAAGAGATGCCTGTGTCAGGAAAAACAAATGATTCTTCAGGAGACTAAGAAAGATCTTTTTTGTTGTCGTCTTCAGACTGAATCATGATGCTGATTATTACTAATAGCAACTCAAAATATGACATGGATGTGTCACTGCTTTCATCTCACATGCTGAAATCAAATTCATAGAAAGGAAGATACATGCTAGTGAAATAAGCCTGCCTTTCAACCTCAGCTCTTTGAGGAAATGCAGAGCAATCCCTACTTTTTCTTTTCTGCTTCGCTTCGTTCCTTCTATAAAGAGCAACTCAAGAGTAGATAAAATTATCTCTCAGAGCCCACCCTGAGAGACTGCATACACCTATTCTGATAAATAAAACTGTGCAAGGCGTGGGGTCCTGCTACTGAAACTTTGTCTTCGTTTTAAGTGGTTAAAATGGTCTCCGCCACAGCTTTGGCCCTGGCTGGCTACAGTGCTCTTAAGCAATTCTCAAGAATAGCTTAAAGTTTAACGTTGCTTAGGGACCATTCTTAGCAGGCATTCTGAGAAGTCTTCATTCTCCTTTGGAGAGTGAAAGTATGAACGTGGTCAGACAGCTGGTGGCTTCAGGGATAGAGACAAGGCCTTTGCTGTGTTGGT